TTATGCTCTAATAAATTTGTTAGTCTCTAAGGTGCCACAAGTACTCCTGTTCTTCTTTTTGCGGATACAGACTAACGCGGCTGTTACTCTGAAACCTGTGTTTATTTGAGTTGTCGGGGTCCTTCATACCTCCTTGGGTGTCTAACCTATATGGGGACAGTGTGTTGCCCCCTTTCTCAGTATTCCAGAAACTGCTCAGACCTGTTTTCTTTTAGTGTTCAGGCTGTATTTTATACTAAGCCTTCCACCCACACCAGTACAATGTAACACCACAGTTTTAAGCCTCTACATCTTTCAGCCCTTCTTTTCTAGGGCCCTAGGAGGAAAAGAGATCTCCCTCTTGGAAGCGCATTCCTTCTACACTCAGCTAGACCTGTCCTCATCCCCTTTGTAACACTTCCTTCTTGGCCTTTATCAGCTTTTATAGCTAGCTGAGGGCTAATTAGTTTCTGACATCCCTAGCCAATCCTTCTGATTAGCTAATTGTTCAATTAGCCATCACTGGGGAAACTAACTGAAGCTAAGAGAGCTGAGTGCAGACTCACCTGTCAGGTTTCAGCACTCTGTCACAAGCCAGTGTCCTCATGTAATTTCAGGCCTAGTCCCCCCCTTTTTTTCTACTGCTAATTTTAGAAGTCACCTTACTGATGTCCCATCATTTCTTTTGGTCCTGTGTATCAAAAACACGTGTTGTGTCATACCTGTGCACCATCAATTTTTAATATTTGCTTTACACTTATTTAAAAGGGGGCACTTTTTGATTATTTTAACCTATGATTAGAGAAAAAATATTTTATTCAAGCTTGCTTACTTGGCATTTCACTGCACTTTTATATGATCAGTTTCACTGTTTTCCCTGTGTAGTCAGTTCCCTGATAATTTGTGAATGTCTTTCATGAACAACAGGGGAGAGAAAAACATTTTTTAAAATAAGAAAAGGTGGCTCTAAATAATAAAAAAAATGGTAGGGGGACTCAGCAGCAGTTACAGTACTTGAAACCAGTTTTAACTTTTTTCTTTTTTTAATGCTGAACAGATTTGATGTTGACAGTGTTTCTTTAAGAGCACATTTACAATTGATACACAAAATCTTATGCAACTCACGTAAGAGAGCGTGTATATTAAGAATTGTAAACTATTGTTATTGCCTGCAAATAAACCTATGGCATGAATCAAAACTATCTTGTATCAGTCAAAAAATTGTTGTGCATATATCTATATGATTCAGTAGACCAACAATCAATAGCAAATAAAATACTTACAGCTAAGTGCAATGGACTAATTGGTGCTCTGTTGTCGGAATCATTCAGCATGTCAGTACCTGATGTTTCCATTAGCTAGAAGAAATACAAATTTAGATTAAATGCAACAAAACTGTTTTAAAACACACACTCCAACAACAGTATGGGAATTGCTATCCCTCACCACTTACAGATTAAAATACACAAAATTCCACAGACATGGTATTCCCTCCGCCCCCCAAGTACTGTATAAATGACTATTTCAATCTTTTAAAGGCTTTGGGCTGTAAAGGCAACACTCTTCCTGCATCTCTCCAGCCCAACTAGCAGGTGTTTCATTTGGCTTCAGATTGAACTATTCAAATAAGAAATTCTTCCCAAATAAGATATTTTCTTTTTTAAATAAAAGCAAACAAACAGCTTATCAGTAAGGAACACTGGATAGGTGGGGAACATATGGTAAGGAAGGAGAAGGAAAAGCAACAAAAATAGACACTGAAAGCCTGATGGACGTAATCCTCAGCAGCAAGGGAAAGGAGAGGAAAACCACAAATTTACATGAAAAGGAAGAGGTGAATCAAGGCACATATAGTATTATAAAATGAGTTAAAAAATCCCTGTGTGTTTTCCTGTGGTGGCCCATTCAAAATTTGCTTGGTGTATTAATGCAGATTCTTTTTCAGGATTGCAGTTAATACAAAATGGGAAATGACTGCCTAGGAAGGAGTACTGCGGACAGGGATCTCGGGGTCATAGTGGATCACAAGCTAAATATGAGTCAACAGTGTAACACTGTTGCAAAAAAAGCAAACATCATTCTGGGATATATTAGCAGGAGTGTTGTAAGCAAGACACAAGAAGTAATTCTTCCGCTCTACTCTACGCTACGCTGATTAGGCCTCAACTAAAGTATTGTGTCCAGTTCTGGGTGCGACATTTCAGGAAAGATGTGGACAAATTGGAGAAAGTCCAGAGAAGAGCAACAAAAATGATTGAAGGGCTAGAAAACATGATCTATGAGGGAAGATTGGAAAAACTGGGTTTGTTCAGTCTGGAGAAGAGAAGACCGAGAGGGGATATAACAGTTTTCAAGTACATAAAAGGTTGTTACAAGGAGGAGGGAGAAAAATTGTTCTTAACCTCTGAGGATACGACAAGAAGCAATGGGCTTAAATTGCAGCAAGGGAGGTTTGGTTAGACATTAGGAAAAACTTCCTAACTGTCAGAGTGGTTAAGCACTGGAATAAATTACCTAGGGAGGCTGTGGAATCTCCATCATTGGGGATTTTTAAGAGCAGGTTGGACAAACACCTGTCAGGGATGGCCTAGATAATACATAATCCTGCCTTGAGTGCAGGTGACTGGACTAGATGACCTCTCCAGGTCCCTTCCAGTTCTATGATTCTATAAATACAGCAGAATCCCAACTATTCAAAATGCTTGGAAACCATTCAATACATCTGGATAACTGAATTAACAGACAGGGATTTATCAGTTTGTTAGAAAGAATGGTTCCAGCCACTGAAATTCCACTGTACTTGAAAAGTAATTGTAATTAGGCAATTTTTAAATATAAATATTACATTTTCTGAATTGCAAGTACTGAGATTGTGAGCCTCTTGGGGGGAGGGACTGTCTTTTGTCCTGTTTGTACAGCACCTAGCACAACAAGTTCTTGGTCCATGACTAAGGCTCATAGGTGCTATAGTAATACAATAAGTAAGTAGTAGTAGTAGTATAAAATGCACATCTGTTCACTGGAAAGCACACAGTTGGACACACCAGGATAAGCAATAGTATTCTGAGACAGAATGCTCCATTGTGCTATACAATACTTTAATGATGATAAAGTGTACAACTTACAACATCTAGAGGAGTTTCACTTGCAATCTGAAATTAAAAAAAAAATGATTTTAGTTCAACAGGCTTGAAAAAATTGAAAATACAAGTGTAATTTTCATATAAGTACTAACTCTAAACATGGAAGATATAAAACAAATGCCAAATCGTACACTTTTGTGCCAAGTGCTGATCAAAATCTACTGTGAAGCTGTTATTTAAATTTATTATGTAGCCATTAGTCACTGCAATATTATGATCAAAATATTTCAAAATTAGGTCCTTCACTTTCAAATATGTAAATCTCTCTCAGCTAAAATGTATTATGCTCGTTTTTAATCCACACAAGCTCATATTAAATCAGTTAACACATCTCAGTGGTTTTAATACATTAGCTAACAGAAGAAAAATGATAGTTTTTTATACAAAAAATATTCGGTGTTATCCCACTATCTAGAACAGAGGTGGGCAAAATACAGCCTGCAGGACCGTCCTGCCCAGACCTTGAGCTCCCCAAGTAGAGCAGCAGTGTGTCTAGCTCCAGCCAGGCGGCACAGGTGCCAGACATGCTGCTCTGAGTGGCATGGTAAGGGGGCTGGGGGGTTGAATAAGGGGCCGGGGGTCCCGGGGGGCAGTCAGGGGACAGGGAGCAGTTGGGTGGGGCGGAAGTTCGGGGGGGAAATGGGGGGTTGGATAAGAGTGGGAGTTCAGGGGGGCCTGTCAGGGGACAGGGATGTGGATAGGGGTCGGGGCAATCAGGGGACAGGGAGCAGAGGGGGTTGATAGGGGTGGGGGCTTGAGGGGGGGCAGGTCAGGGGACAAGGAGCAGGGTGGGGTTGGAGTGGGTCGGGGGTTTTGAGGGGGGTAGTCATGGGACGGGAAGTGGGAGGAGGC